ATATTATACAACTAGAAAAAGTTACTTGCATCCAGATGTATAATTTTTCTAAAGTATCAAAATTGGTTTGTTTTGTTTTAGCGTAATTACAAACAAGAAAATTTATCTTTGCCATGTTGTGGATACTTGCAGTGGAGCTAGTGAAACCAGACTCTTTTTATATATTTCTAAGCATAATATATTCGATAAACTTGAACTAAATTAGATTATTAAACCTTAAAAATTTTCACCACTAATGTTCTTATTTAATATCCATTTACAATTGTGGTCACAAAATCCGCTTCCAAAAGCCGCTGTTTTTAAATAGATTTAATTCGGTTCAATGCAGTTCTTCTACGTATGACCCAGGGAAAAATCCTCTTCTGTTGTTACATTCACCCTTCCACCAGCCATCGGCATTTTTTTCGGTCACACTGATAATATCACCTGGTGTGATAGACAGTTGATCGCTTTGCTCTGCARCAAACTCGTACAGTACTCTACACTGACAGAGAACTGAGAAAAAAAAGATATTATAGTTACTGAAATGATATCAAGTTTGCTGAGAAGTCATAGTGAAGTTAAATCAATTATACCTGTATCAGTTCCATAATCATCGTCAAAGTCATCTGAAATGTAAAGGCAATGTAAGGTAGTGGGTGCTGATTACCCTATATTGCAGCACAGGTGCTGAATTGTAAAGAACGAATTAGACGACACAACTTTTGCCTACAACCATCGCATGCGACCTGTGTAAGTCATCCTTACAACATGTCTACAACTGCGCAGGTTGCATGCAATGTTTTAGGCAAAAGTTGTGCTGTCTAATTCGGCCTTAAAGGACGCAGTGCTGCATGCTCATAATGTCTGATGAAACTGTACCTTAACGTACAGCATTATATTAAAAAATATAAACAAAAACTCCAGTTGCCTAGAGTTGTGAAATGTGTGAAATATGTGGGGTGTCATAGCTGTTATACATGAAAACAGACAGTTCTTGTATGGCATTGATTCTATAGTATACCATAAAATATTAATGATACGCTGCAGTTACCTAACTGTCCATCACTCTCATAATCCCTACTTGTCACTTGATCTAAAGGCACTCTAAGCACACTTTGAGAAATTCCCTATTTATAAAGAGAAATAAAAGGTATTAACAAATATTTTTAACATTAAACACCAAAAAATGYACATGAYGAAGACAGACTGTGCATGACGAAAGAGTTGTGATTTGACWCTCATCACAACAGTCCTGAGGTGGCTGTGTATTTGCAGTGGTGGATTAAGGTGCTGGGTGCAGAGTGTGTGCATGGGTCCTTAAGAGCTTTAACACTTTAATTTACTTTTTGGTGTTTTTCTCCTTTAGTGATAACTTCTGCTGGTGCAAACTCGATTATTCTTAGGTGACATTAAATGCCTRCTGGAAGACAATAACTTTTAATGAGTTTAGTGTTTCATGAGTTCAATGACCGTAAGCCATCTTTATTTGAACTCAGTCTCTTGTAGATTACATGTGCTTTTGACATGATTGACAGATACTAATTACATAAGCATACCGGAAGTGGTACACCGGAAGTACACATATTGTAAAATCTCCCTCTCTTTAAAAAACAACAAATTATAAACTGTTAAAAACTGTAAACAATAATAATACTTTGAAATGATTGGAATGACTTGACTTGTTATTTGCAAAACAATCAAATTTAAAGTCTCTTATCTAGGCAATCACCAAGTTCAATCATAGTGTTTTTGTGCCTACTAAGAAGATACTCAGCACAGATAGAACAGATGGTTATTTTATAGAAATCTTTTATTTTGTAAAGTATTTGTTTTCTTGGCCTGAGAGGTCAATTTGAATTTAAAATGTATTATATATCACTTAGCGACATTTAGTTTACCGTGTTTGATTTTATCAGTCAAAGCAAGGATATATTTAAAACTTTCGCCTGAAAATAACTTTTTGGAGATTCATCTGACTAAGTACGTTGGTCCATGTACAAACACTTTGATATTAAGTATACTTTAAGTAGGTTCTTTTCTTTTAAACATTGCATTAAAATTTATTGAATTATTAATGGTGTTAATTACATGACCATTAAGGTCAAATTTATTTAGGCCTTACAGAATTTTGCATATTTTGAACTAGACGCTCTTAGAGCGTGAAGTCGGTCTATTTTGGAAAAAATTGAGAAAGACAGGCAAGATATTTTTCTGGCTTGATATTTCTATCTTTTTGACGTAGTTACAGTGAGCCGTCAGAAAAGAAAATTGTAGCTTGATTGTCAATAAACAATTAGAATTTTGAATAGTGAAAGTATAACGCATTCTTTCTTTCACTATTTCCAGAATTAAAATATATATATATTCTATGCCATAATTTATATTCATATAATCAGAATATACATAATAATCTTATCGTGTATAAAACCTTCCACTCGTTTGTCTATACACGCACCCATGTAATATCCTGTCTTTCTCAAGTTTCAAAATAGCTAGCCAGACTTCACGCTCTAAGAGCGTCTAGTTTACTAGACTTTATCAGCTGTGGATCATGATATTATATAGTTTACAATTATATGTTAAATGTTGATCATGACGATTTAAAAGATAATTTTTATTGACATTCATTTTTAGATGGTTAGTTACCTGGGTTATTGGTAAGTTTGTTTGTGATGTACGCTTTGTAGACATTCTGTGTTGTAGCTTACTTACACTAGTACTATAAACCTACAAGTTGAACTCACAAAGTCACACATCTAATTTAATTACATAATACACTACTTCAGAACAAAGAAGTCAACAGATAGAAAAGAGGGAAAGACTGCCTTCTCATCAATCCTTCATATTCCTCTGGCAAGAAAAGTTCAAAAAAATATTCTAAAGGAATAATGTGTCATTCTTTCACCGTCACCTTATTAGAGTGAAAAGCAAACATTGCTCTTTAAGCCCCCTTTTTACCTGTTTATCTTTGGATGTGCTGATGTAATTCATGAGATAAAATGTAGGTTTTTCTTCTCCTTGAAGTTTTGCTAAAGCACACTGTAGTTTGTATAAGCTTGATTGTAAGCTATCAATGACAGCATTGGACTGATAGATAAAATGAAATATAAGAACAAATATAATCCTACTGTTTCAAAAACACTGTATGATTTAAACCATTGTGCTGCCAAAAGACACTGGCTTTCTAAGGTTTGATATGATTTTGTATGCAAACTTATAGCTTGTAGTAAATTATATTAGTACATACATGGCTGAGCTGAAGTGTGACATCTCTTTTGCCTTCCTCGTCACAGTATCCAGGGTTCTCAGAATATGTGTCAAGTAAAGTTTTGATTCCTAGTATTCAAAATAACACAATATCTATTAATGACCTCTGCATTGAATTAATAACATTTGGAATAAAGTAATGACATTTAGAATAAATTAATTATGACTTTTGAAATAAATTACTAACTCTTCAAATAAATTGTTAAAATTACTCTAAATCATTATTTGCCTTCTTTAGTTTTCTTTTCTTTCTCTATTTCTGTAGTAAATATCTGGATCTTATTTTCCAGGGCCTCTCTTCTTCGGTCAAAATTCATATTGATCTCCAGATCCTCCTCCTACAGTAAAAGACAAAATTTTAGTCATTATTAGAAATCAAAACTGCAAATTATATATTTGAGATCATATTTTTTTAGTAGAAGCAAATAAATTTCCTTATGAAATTTGCCGAGAAATGTCTCTATTCATACAACATATACAGCACACTCAAGAAGCAAGACTATGCACACATTTACAGCTCACAAATACTTATCACTTCTTTTGTGCTCCTTTTACACCCCCCATGTTTCTTTACTAATTGCCGAATAGACCATCAAAGGAACTTAGAAGCAATATCATTGCATATTATGTGCCTCCTTCTACTTGATCTTCTAAAAAGCTCCAAGCAATTCAATCAAGTTTTTCCTAAGTATTGCAATCTTTAGTAAATTAAACTTACATAACAGTCATACAAAACTTGCTCGGCAGGCTCTCTTGGGATCCCTTTGGTGTCTGCTATTAATTGGACATCTTCTAATGGTTGCATTTTATATGCCTCTTGTTGAATGTTTTCATAATTCTTAAAACCAAACAAAAAACCATTTGGACAATATTTTCTGTATTTCTGAAGCCCAGTTGCAAACAGGGAGAATAAACTATCTACTACATCAGATGATGTTGCATGCATTTTATCCGCTGGACAAGGGCTTGTCTGGTGGATAACTGCCCTTCATACAACTGGCACCTATTATGCATTTTTAAAGGCAATTTCGAGCTGACAGACAAATGAACAAACCTGTTGAAGTTGAGGTACAACTGCAGCAAGCATATTTGAATAGAGTGAAAAGAGGTCTTTAAGGTAATACAGTCTTTCTTCTTCAAGCCTTTCACATGTCTGTGGGACATACAACACATGATTAAATTTTGCACTCAACTAAATGATAAATAATGAACTCTTTTATAGTCCAATGTGTCACATAATGTCCTTTAGATCCAGATGTTTTACATCAAATTAAAAGAATGATGTTTCATTCATGACTAGATGGTTATACTACATGAACCAATGGAAATGAGGTGATCAAGAAGAGCTCGATTTACCTGACAGCATTTGCTCATTGCAGATTCCCAATCCAATCTCATCCTTTCTGATAACTGATAAACATCTCTATATTCCTTGTCTAAAAAGATAATATAATTGGCATTAAATAAACTTTAAGTAATGCATTTTACAACACAATTTGTGTCTTAAAGTGGTATCCTAAATTTACAATGTTTTATTCATCAGTATCATTAGAGGGTTGAAATAACAAAAGACATTATAACTTATCCAGATTGCGCTAAAAAATTTACCTGTTTTTGCAGATGACTCTGTTAGCTTTCTTAGTTTAGTTTCAAGCTAAGAAGACAAACACTTTTTAGTATTGATTTGTAAAATCTATTTCATAAAGAAGCATTAAATTTAAATGCTACAAATTACATCTTATATCTATATAACCAATGTACCTTAGTAATATCTTTATCTGATAGTGATTTGCCTTTTCCTAACCGCACATCCTCAAGTTGTTGGTACAAATTTTCTACTTCTTTTGATTTTGAATGAGACGATTTCTTGGCCTGCATATAAAACAATCATGCAAATAATACACATTTCAGTATATGCATATCCATTATTAATAATTACCCTTATTGAATAGAAGGTATTCCATCCAACTGAATTATCTGCCCAGTATAGTAAAATATATTGAAGAAGCATTCCAAGCATTCCCTAAAACCTTCACCGTTATTATTTATAGAATGAGAACCACAAAAGAGTTTCCAAATTTCAATATTTTATTTAATAAGAACACTATACCTTAATTGATTCATTTAGTTTATCTGTAAAAGTTTTATATGCTTTATCAACACTGGATTCAACCTTAAGAACAAAAACATAGTAATTACTTTTTGAAAATTTGTTAAAAAATATTATTGAGGGATTGTATACAACCACAAAAATAAACTACTCAAATTGCTAACCATTTTCCGTGTCTTGATTTGCTGATCCAGAAAAGCCTTGACTTGCTTTGATCCTTCATCATATATTTGCGAGGAAAGAGATCTAATTTTTTAGAAGAAGTATGAAATTTGATATCATTAATGTATAATTATATGTATAATTTAAGTTTTTTATAGTTGAAATTAAAGAAATGGAGGAAAACAAAGCCACACTTTGCAATAATACATTTGTACCCTTTGAACACAAGTACGTAAGTGTACAATCATGTACAACAGTGTTTCAATTATGGTTATGATTATAATAGACTGCATCAGTTATATACCTGTGAATTTCGGCTTCATCTTCCATTTCTTTAGATATTCTCTCCCATGTTGTCTTTATTGTGCTAATATGGGAGTCAGAGAGAGGACAGGAAATAAACTACATGTTGATAGATGATTGGTAAGATTGATATAATCATGGAATAACAATATGGTTGTTAAATTTACCCTGTAACATCCTTTGCACAAAGTTTTGTTGCCTTGCTGGAAAGCTTTGAAAGTTGCTCAGCATAATTTTGTTCTATTTTTGATCTGAAATGTTATGTGTAACTAAATAAAGATCTGTTTAAAAGAATCATTATAGAACAAACAATCAAGGGTTGAAATAAATGAATTAAACTTACATGTGATCAGAATGATAGCAAATTCATAACTATTTTTGGAAACCATTAAAGGCACCTGCCGAAAGCCACTGCACTTGTTTTATTTTTTATCACMGCAATGTCAGAAATCATACACCCACAAAAATATAACATATATTGCAGATGTTTTCAATAGATTTTCCGCTTGATCCCACTCGTTTAAATTATTTTTTCTTGAAAGTAAATTTACATTTACACTTAAATAAAATAACTGTTTCGTAGTCACTTAATTGTTATTCAATGGATCAATATAGAATTGACAGTGTGTGCAAATGATTGATGCTAATCCAAGTTGAAATGCCTTTGTGAATATTCTTACAATTTGTCGATAATTCCATGAACAAATATATGTACCTTTCGCTCAAGACATTTGCAATTTCTTTACTAAATTCACTTCCTTGTCGGGAGACTTTGCGGAGCTCTTCGTACCCTTTCTGGTCCTAAAACCAACAAACTGTTGAATAAACGCAGCAAGAACCAGTCGTGCAGAATCCAGCACACGGAGGTCATTGCCCGAGTTTGTCCGCTTTGAAAACTTAGAGATAAAAATAGCTTAAAAATTAGGTTGCTTACCCAAAACGTTTGCTCAAACCTCGACATGGTTGTTACGAAGTTTTTATACTAGGAAATGAGAGGTAAACACGGCAACCACGCTCCATTTCCGTCACCTATAGCCGCCATTTTGAATTGAATTATGCATACCTTCGATAAGAATGATGACGTCATGACATCCAAATTCATTAATTATCTGTAGATTTTGTAAATACGGACGGCGAGGACATCAAACAATATTCCAAGGACAAAAGAAAAATTTAATTTTGAGATATAAGGGCCGTATGACCTTTTAAAACAATAGTTCACAAGATCTCAATAAATAAAATCATCCATGCTAGCAGAACAATTAGCTAAGCAAAGAAACATGAAATAACGGCAGGCACCATGCAGACACCATACTCGTCATGTGTGAAAAGAAATTATTTGGGAGTGGGGGTAGTGGGGAAACGGAGAAACATACACATATATAACAACATCAATTTACAATCACAATCACTATCAACAATTTATTATCACTCTTGATATATTTGAAAAATACACATTTTAATTTGTATCAATATTACAATCAACAGGAAAACATTATAAAGTATATATTATAGCTTTTTATAATTATCATAAGCGGTATTGAAGAGCAGAAAAATTATAAATAAATTAGATATAAACAATTTAATTACTTATTAAAAAAATGAAAAATTGTCAATATGATTTCTTAGTGGCAACTGGACACAAGAGGTTTTTATATTTGTTTAATATGTGGTCATTGATTTACTAAATGATAACAAACTACTTATCATAATTAACAATCAAATCAATCAGTGATTCATTTTTTTGGTACAATTTCTTAAAAAGTCTTTTAGAAACCCTGAGAATTGAATGATTTAGCAAGATCTCTTGCAGAAAATACCAGGCCAAATCCACCACAAACCAGACCAAAGACAATAACGAAGCACCTTAGTGCAATATTATACCACTTTAACTTTTTCCACTTCAATTTCATGTGAAACACACATGGGAATACAAACGAAAGGCACGTTCCTGTGAAACTTCCAACAAACCCCATCAGAAGGCCAAAATGAGGGACAACAATTCCAAGAAAAAGGGCGAGCGTTGCAAGTAGCAACCTTGTGATGAGCAACCAAAACCAATGGCAGCTGCTGTCTGGCTGAAGGTGGGGGAAAAATGGCAGAAAGTTAGTATCCCAGGTCTCTAAGACAATAAAGAAACAAATAGGAAATGCCAGGAAGACATTGGTGATGACCAGGGCATTGGACAGGTAGTTGAAGGCATGGCTTTTGATACTGACGGTTATGACTTGTTCAGTATGAGTTCCAAACCTCAGGACTGCCATTAAGCCTAGTAAACATTTGATGACTGCTGCCAGTAAGAATGAAAAGTTCATCATGGCTGGAAATTTCTTTGGCTCTTTCATGCTCCCCTCAACACCTGGAAAAACCGCATGTGCACAATAGCTGAAGACAATAATCCCAAATCCAATTGGAAAAGTTTCAGCATTAAAAACAGGAATGTTATGGATGTCCATTTTATCGTACTCGGTTATGCAGTAGATGATGAGTGTAGCCAGACCAACCATGAGTGAAAAGACAGAAAACATGCTAATCCACGCGATGATGGACACTCTTTTGATGAAGATCCCTGGAAATGCGACATAGGTGCAGATAACGGCCCAGTGGTAAATGTTTAGTTCTGTATAGGCTTTCAGCATGTCATTAAAGACTGTTGCAAGCAGTACAATGTACATTATTATACCTCCAAACATTTCGCACACTTGGACAATACTAACGATCTTGTGACCGAATCCAGGAAGGACCGCCTCGCCGACTTCAGGATAATTGGTACGGACGCGCTTGCGTTGTCCAGTCCGCTTCGAATCTTCGTATAGACAGTCGACTAACAATTTGCCAGTAAAACAGCACACCCAAGCAATGACCAGTATAGCAATAACGCCGGCCCAACCACCCATGCTAACAGCGTAAGGCACCCCTAGTATACCCGTTCCTTGGATTAGATTGCTAACATTCCAGCCAGCCATGAAGGCTGAAGCGCGGCGATCGTGCGATGGTTTTTCCAACAGAGAAACAGTCATGGTATGACTGCGAAGCTTTCTAATACTTTCAGTGACACCCCCTCGATGTGAGGAGAACGATCTGTGTTCTACTTCGGGACCAAGCAGGCTGGAGCCTTCGTTTATGGTGGCAAGTTTCTGACTTCTCGTCAATTGAATGTCGACCTGCCCTGACTCCAAATCGCCAACACTAGCCATCTTGAGAATCTTTCCTTCTTTTCGCTTCTAATGTTTCTAATGAAAACTCACAAAATTCATACAAATACTCTACAGCTTACGAACTTGTTATTGCTTCACGTGGAGTATCGGATTACCATTGTCCATATAGAGAATGAACTCTTGTCGATTAGCCAATCAAAACAGATTTTCGCAATATGCGATTGACCCATTGAGAAAAGTTGCGTAAGCATGGTCTGTAAACAAAACAACGTGCTTTACCAGACAAAGACACACAAAATAGCAAAGAAAGATTCAACAATTATTTATTCCATATGAATATTTCATTGCCTCCTTGAGGGATTAAGTTCTTGATTTGTGTCAGTGGTTCG